AGAAAGAGGTTCGAGGCGGGACAATAAAAGAAAGCAGTCGGCAGAAGGAGAAGCAAGTGGAAACAAGAGACCATCGGCAGGTTGAATTGTCTCAGACGCGTTGCGTTAATGCGGACTGACAGCGTGTTGGCCTAAACTAGGGAATTAGTATAACGATAAAGACTAGGTAAATGCGAGATAAAATAACTTTTTGGAAAAAATATTTAACCGACTTCGATAAAGGTGCGGTGAAAAGTATGAAATAATTTCTAGTGAATTTATACGAATACGCACTAGCTCTAGATATAATTGCTTAGAAGTATGGGAAAATGCAGTGAAAGGTATGAAATAATTTCTATTTCAACTACATTATTATTCACCATCGTTTCGTGAATTTGGTTCAATTATTAAATACATCGCATTGAATGCAATGCAACTTTTTCGGAGAAAGAGATCCGAGGGAAAAAGAAGGAGAAGGATCGTGTTACGCTGGTCGCTCGAAAGCGTCAAAGGGGACCCTCCCCTCGAGTGGTGGGGATAGAAATGTTGCATTTATCCAGTCGATCCTGTCTTGCACTTATCCAGTCTTTACTGTACCTCGTTAGAGCGTTGCGTTATACGGCACGAAACGATTGCAACACCCGTTAGTATCTACTCCAAGGAGGGCGACGATCATTTTTGCGAATTTCCGTGTGCAGCTTGGGGTTGCATAACGTTTCGAAAATGACTGACGTCAGTGGTCGGGGTATTCTCAGGAACGTTATCGATGAAACCGTTCTTCCTCTGTACCGGGTGGGCGGGATCGATGTCGACGACGACGTGCGCGATTTCTTCGTGGAATTTTTATGAACTCGAAGCTGTTTCGGGTGAGGTGCCCGAGATACACCGGGAACCGAATCCACGAAAACGACGTTTTCAATCAAATTCCCATCGAGTGTTAGCGACTTTTATAAGGGGTGTACGAAGAACGTCATTACGAAATTTTGCGGGGTTGTAGAGCAAGACAAAAGTAAGGAGAACGGGAATACGAGAGTTTCGCGGACCGAAGTTCAACAGGCGAAGCCAATTTCGAACTTTCACCCCTCTAATGTTAACTTGAAGATTGTTGGGAGAGAAACGAGAGAGCTGATAAGAGCTCCGAGTATGTATGCGTAATACCAGAGACGTTCTAACACGTCACCGAAATAATAGGGTTAGGTCGAGCTCCGCCATTTTTCAATTAAATTTTCCGAAATTGGTTTCCACTGGAACACGAGACATTTGTTTCGAAAAATAAAAATTGCTCGTCTACACTTAAACATTTTTCCTAACCTCATCTGTACTTGCAATTAAATATCGCAGACACTTTTCTGATGAGAGTTGCGAGAGAGAAATGGAAAATGGCGGCCACCGTAATAGAGCTAGGTCGAGCTCCGCCATTTTTCAATTAAATTTTCCGAAATTAGTTTCCACTGGAACACGAGTCATTTCTTTCGAAAAATAAATATTATTTACCTTCGCTTCCAAAATATTCCCCCCTCCCATATTTACATTTGAAATAAAATATATTATTCCAAACAATTTACTAATAAGAGTTGCGAGAGAGAAAAGAAAAATGGCGGCCACCGTAATAGAGCTAGGTCGAGCTCCGCCATTTTTCAATTATATTTTTCGAAATTAGTTTCCACTGGAACACGAGTCATTTCTTTCGAAAAATAAATATTGCTCGCCTACGCTTCTTAAACATTTTTCCTAACCTCATATGTACTTGCAATTAAATATTGCAGACACTTTTCTGATAAGAGTTGCGAGAGAGAAATGGAAAATGGCGGCCACCGTAATAGGGTTAGGTCGAGCTCCGCCATTTTTCAATTATATTTTTCGAAATTAGTTTCTCCTAGACACGAGTCACTTTTTCGAAAAAATAAATATTGCTCACGTTCACTTCCTAAACAACCCCCCCCCCCCTTATCTATATCATACAATTGAATATCTTATTCCAAACAATTTCCTGATAAGAGTTCTGAGAGAAAAATGGCGGTCACCGATCAGAACCTACCGTCATCATCTCCTAACCCTCTTCTTAGACACCCATCTCGATCCTCCAATCCTCCGATCCAAATTTCACCTAAATGGACACCTCTACTCGTCCAAAAGCAACGATCCAACGTTTAGGTTATGTACACATTTCGTACAAATTTCCATAGACTCGATGGAGCCACATTGTGGGCCCGTGCTTTGTAGCGCGATGCTTAACAATTCTTTGTATCCCGAGCATTATTGCGTGGGTTCCAAAGTGCCGCGAGATCCCGCGATAAGTCTAGATCTGATAGAGACACCGAAATGTACACAACAAACGGATGCATTGATGCCTGTGTCCCTTCCTTTTGCCGCGCGAAAAGAAATTGCATCCTCCTCGTGTTACGGAGCGTCTCGGCGTAAAGTATATCATCACTAACAAGTAAAAATCACTCGACTTGCAAAAACGAATCAAAGTGGTCCGGTTTACCCGAATACGTAACCCCGATTATAGTGATAAAAGACGGGGATAAAAAGAGGATACATAAATATATAATTAAAAGGTTACGAGAGAGGTTAGAAGTTTCTCGTACGTTACAGGGATGCACGCGTTACACGCACGGTCGATGTAAGAAAGATGTACGCGCGTGGAGACGCCCAAAGGAAAGAAAGTTAATGCACGGGGATAGCGGTCGCTTAATTTCGTAGATACAATAATGTTTTTGCTGTGTCTCCTCGAGCGCGCGTTATCTCGACAGTGGAACGTTTAAGTGAACGTGCAGATCACAGAAGGGCAAGTCGATTATCGATTCGAATGGTGCAGTTCGTTAAAAAAAATTACGCCGAGTCTCAAAGGGAAAATGGCGCGAACGATCTCTGATGAGAACGCAAGGGCAAGCTTCTCGACTCAGTGCTTCTCAAACTTCGCTAAACAACGCACTTCTTACATATTTTCGCTATCGACGACAGTTAACTTTGTATCTTTGATGAAAATAATAACCGAGACTTTCGTTCATTCCACTGTATAATATACTTCATTTATTCTTCGGAAAATACCCTCATGGGGAACCCAGGTTGAGAAACACTGGCGTAACGTCATCGTATCTCGGAAACTAAGCGATTGCCAACCCGTGTTTACAGAAACGTTTCTTCTCAATTTGCGTATCTCTACATGTCCCGAAACTTTACATTCGATTCCGTTTTTTTTTTATTGTAATATTTTTGCTTGAATTAATACGGTACCCTCGAAGCTAAATCGACCTACGACCCGTATTTACGATTATTGTGATTTCCTGAATTGATAGCGCGCCTATAGAATATTCATTTATTCGACTATTCGGGACTGGTTTCAGCCATGTGATATTATACACTAACCTAATTTCATTACCATCTACAGACTCCCGAAGAGAACCTGAATACGGGCCATAAACGTTAAGGTTATCATATGACATCGAGCGAATAAAATCATCGTATGAATGAATCTGAGTCTAACAAATGAATATCTCCAATAAATATCCTCGCACTTTTTTCGATTTTCGAAAAACTACCCGAATGTGTAAAATTTTCTATGCTATTCCATGTACTCGCTGTAAAGTATTATACAAACTGTACAATAACAAATAAAATATTGCTATTTATCCGTAACTCATTCATTATTTAATCCTGTAATGTAAAACTATTAAATTTAAAAAATACCACCAACATTTATAATATCACGCGAGGTTTCTTCTTTACCGATATGACCTCATGTAGTTCACATTTCTGTATGCAGATGGCAGCATCTTACAGAAGTTAACAAAACTTCTTGAATAAAAAATATTTTGTTTAACATGAATTCAGATGCATTTACAACTATTATTCTTCTATTAAAACCGGTTGCGACAATACAGTTTCAATCTATGTGTAGTATTTTAAATGTCTTCGCTATGGGAACAGATGCACTTTGAATGCAAAAGAGACCAGTGATTGGAGCAGATATTAAAATTGAAAATATAATCTAGAAGTCTGAGACACAAAGTGACGTTAATTCTTTAATATCTATGTAACAAATTTTGTTTTACATGATTTCAGATCCATTTACAACTAGTATTCTTTGATTAAAACCAGTTGCAACAATTTATTGGGTTGTCCGGGAAGTTCATGCCTATTTTCAAGAAAAATTCAAAGGCATATTTGAATTTTGATGCATATTTATTGAATTATATGTGAACCATTTTGTTCCACAACCTTTCCACTTGTTAAGGAATGTATACATCTTATTTGTTTTCATCCATTCTGATATATACAGACCTGTACCGCCTACTAAAAATCGCCATGGACTTTCCAGACAGCCCAATAGTTTCAATCTATGTGTAGTATCATAAATGTCTTCGCTATGGGAACAGATCCACTTTGAATGCAAAAGAAATCATTGATTTGAGCAGATATTAAAATTGAAAATATAGTCTGGGAGTCCAAGATGCAACTTGACATTCATTTTTTGATGTCTGTGTAATAAATATACACAAAATTTCAGTTACCAAATATTAACTATCAAGAATATTTTGATGTCTTATCATTCAAACGATACTTTGGACTCTATCAAATAAATATTTCTATGGACTCGAAAACCTTAGCGAAAGGTAAAACATATTTGTGCAATGTTTCTAATACAGGGGATATTCAAACTTCTTAGGTTCATTAAATTTGTTGCACTAATGTCAGCATATATGATACTAGTACAAAAAGCCATCCAAGTACTTTGTGTAATCAGTGTCAAGCAATGCGACATATAAAAGTGAAATTTTGAAGACACACTTCTATGGAAATCTAATGATATTCGTCCAAATTATTAAAGTGTAAATATCACTAAAAAGTTTGTGCTCGAATAAAGGTTATAACAATATTTTTGTGTCAAGCAATGCAATCCGATAGATAAAAGTCAAATTTTAAAGACACACTTCTATAGAAATCTAATGATATTTGTCCAATTTGTTAAAATGTAAATATCACTAAAAAATTTGTGCTCGAATAAAGGTTATAGGAATATTTTGATCGGTATGAACGCCTCTGAACCAAGATCTGTTTACGAAATGAATTTATTTTCTAACATAAAGCTATTTGTACCTCAGGATCTTCGTCATTTTCGATTACCTACTACACGACGAATAATACGGCTTCTCGGCGTTGTTAACTTAAATAACAAACACTCGCGAACGATAATTTTTCGCAAGTTAGTATCATAACAAACGAAATGAGATTAAGAGAAGAGGAGTACGATAAGTTCGAGGATCGCCTAGCTACGAATCGAAAATGACGAAAAAGACGAGCGAGAAATAACGAAAACAGGACCTGTCATTTTCAATCATTCCTTTGGGAGATCAATACATCTCGCGAAGAAAAAGGGGTCTCGCGGTTCGTCGTATTCGTTCGACGTTCGAGATGCTAATACTCTGGTCGTTAAAGATTTCGAAACCTTCGACGATCGAAACATCGCTAGGAACAAGCTTTTTTTTTTTCTTTTCTTTAAAATCGTGAACGCTTAGCATGTGTGCGCGCGCGTACATGCCGTGCGTGCATGTGTCCGGTATGGATGTGTGCGTGCGTGAAGGCCATGTTAACAGACTGTAAGTCAACGGATGACTTCGGAAACGGTGAGAGGAGAAATGAATTTTACTTACAATTTTCACCGGCTTCTTTGCGGCTCCTACAGAGCTTTCCCGTGTAATTATTTCACTCTCCACATTATTACGTCCACGGTGGAAAAAAAAAAATACTGCGAGAGAGGCGAGTTTGATCAAAAGCACAATTTTCGTGACGTCATCGGTTGTCGGGCATGCGCAGACCGATTTCGGTGTTTTTCCATTTACCGCGGAAACACGTGTGTGCGTCGTCGTTTGTTGTTCTTTTTTTTTCTTTTTTCCTTTTCGTTTCTACGTTTCCTTTTCTCGTACTTTTCGTTCCACACGGCGAGAGAACCACATCGCTAAGAAACACGCAACATTATCGCGAACCGACGCGGTTATCGTCCGTTGCGAATTTCGTGTGCGATTATTCGCGAGAGCCAGCACACGGCTGCCGACATCTATCCATCCACTCCCACTTGTTAAGTGACGTATACTGACGTCATCGATAGTTTACCTTGAAGCATGACATTGAGTCGCATGCTCGCCAACAGTCGCGATCGAGTTCCCCTATAGGTTCTTTGTATGGGGAATAGACTGTCGTTCGCACGACGCGCGACCGTTGCCAACCGAACGAAACGCGACCGACGAGGGATCCGACTAGAGATGGCTAGAACTGCTACTTGTGAATCACTCGTGATTCGATCACGTTTGTTGCCAATCACGGTGATTTTTCATAGTGATTCGTGATTCTTCATGACCGCATCTGATTGGCAAAGAACATTCACTTTTCACGAATTATGTTGTTCTTAGATTATATATGTATTATAATATGGTCTAAAAGCAATGTTAATATAATTTTAATACAATTTAAATTTGACTCATTGACTCCGTGCACGCTCGCGGCGCGTAATACGAACAATGTTTAACCACCGATCCATACAGATATCTAATGTAAATCGATATACAGGGTGTCCCAAAAGTGTTGTACCACTTTGAAAGAGGTGGTTCAGGAGGCAGTGTTGGGCAAAACCCTAGACTTCGAACAAATCTGAAGTTTGCCGATGTGTTTGTCTCGTTTCATTCTCTGGGAAATGTTCAACATATCACATATGTTCACATATAACAAACATATCGGCAAACTTCAGATTTATTTGAATCCTAGGGTTTTGCCCATCACTGTCAGGAGGTGATTTGAAACAACTTTTTCCTTAGCGAAAATGTTGTCCGTGGCTTTGTTACGGAGATATTAACGGAAAACACTGACCAATCAGAGCGTGAGTATGCCGGTTGAGCGTAAGTTACGCGATAGGCGGCCGCGCTCATACGCTACCGCGAGCGCTCCATCGGTATATTCGCGTTCTGATTGGTCGACGTTTTCCATTAATATCTCCTCAATGAAGCCTCAGACAACATTTTCGCTAAGGAAAAAGTTGTTTCAAATTACCTCCCGAACCTACCCTTTCAAGGTGTTACAACATTTTTGGGACACCCTGTAGAAAAAGTAATTACTTATAAAAATACAATTTGAATATAATAAGAATAAAAAAGTACCCTTAGCACCAGTGGAAAGGAACGTCCAATATTGACAGTCTAATCGATCGATTAACATAAAAAATACAATATTTTGCACTTTAATTTTATACAATGTACTTATAATTACTTATAATTACTTATAGTACTTATAATTACTTATTAAAGTACAATTTGAGTATAATAAGAATAAAAAAGTACCCTTAGCACCAGTGGAAAGGAGCGTCCAATATTGACAGTCTAATCGATCGATTAACATAGAAAATACAATACTTTGCACTTTAACTTTCTACAATGTACGATGGAAATAATTGTAATTTATACTTGGAATTAAACACCCTCGTCAATTATCGAATCCGAAACTGAATTTCTTACTCATCTAAGCTTACCACGATATTACTGAAAAAGAGAGAAACATCGCTGTAACAAACGAATGACCCGAAACAGATGTGATCTGTGACAGGAGCCACGAAACATCTGGACAATGTTCATGATATAATTACAAATTCGTTGTAATGCAAGATTAAATATATAATTCTCTAACCAATAGGCTATACCTTATTTACAATCACCGTGAAAATTACGATTCCGAATATGCCCGCCGTGGATTGTAAGTACGTTACAACTAATTTGAACATGAAAATTTCTTGGATATGCCCTCAAGTACGCAATTAAAAACAAATTACTGTTCCGTTTATTCCATTAATTCGAAGAGACTAAATTAATCACAAAGAGCGTCCAATTTATCGTATGACTTATCGATTCAAGCGTAATATATTCCCAAAAACCTTTGACAATAAAAGTAAAAAAACTGTTATCGTTGACGATTTCTTTCGATTTAATTTTCGATTCAATTTTGATTTTCTTTACTGAATTGCTCGCTGAATGAGAAAATAGAATACGAAATACTGTTAAAAAATTCATGATTTATGAGTTTTTTCTAACCTAGCGTGTTCCATACTTCGTTAACTCAAAGTTGCATCACTGATTAACGATTATGTTTCACCGAGAAACTTACTTCGATATAACTAATCGTTTTTAAAGCATTAATGAAAACGAATCATTTGCTGATTTGTTGTTTTATCCACGTTTCTCTTCCGTTTCCTTTACTGGCGAGATACAGTCGGAGGATGGTTTGCAACATAACCTCATTAATGATTTAACTCTAGATTTGATTCATCGATAATGGATAACTCGAACAAGGAACGATACATCCATAATGACGAAGAGAAAAAAAATGATCACGTAAACATTATTAACAACAAAATGGCCAATGAATCAGATTTAGATATATTGTACACAAGTCGCTTAGATTCCACGCATCAACAAGAAGACATAGGGAAAAAGATTCTGTTGTTGAAACATATGTTGGAAAAGGATCTGAAAGCAGCTGATTTAAAGTGGTCTTTGTTTGTGGCAGCATGTAACACGTATCGTTATGATTCTTGCTTAAAACCCTTTCCACCAATGTATATAAAAAATGAGTTCAAGGACATCGATTCTTTGGTAGCATCTTCAAAATATCTGTTATATATAATACTTTGCTTTATATGTAATTATTTAAAAATTCGCTATTATAATTTAATTATAGAGGCGAGGCATAGAGCTAATCCCACCACTGGCTGTACTATTTAAAGCATTACAAGAACCAGACGTATACGAACGTTACGGAACAGCTATAGAATTATTACATTGGGTTCTAATACGTCTGAGAGATCCTTACATAAAGAGCATCAACAAGGATTGTGTAAGTTTCCTTACACATGTCCCGTTAGCTAAGCACTTTTAATTTTATTCATTAATTTTATACAGTACGACTCAATATTGAGAAGGGCACCTTCAGATATATCTGTAGTTGCACCAAATTTAATATTTCAAGTTGCAAACGCTAAGCAATCCACTTCGGAAGACAAATGGAAAAAGATTGCTCAAGGCCATACAACCTTTTACGCTTATCACGGCAGTCGTCTAGAGAATTTCCATTCCATTATACACTACGGTCTACAACAGAGTATGTGCAAGGTAAACTGCTACTTATACAAAATATATGTAGGAACTCGTAACAATTAATATCGATATGTTAAGTCATTGATGTATCTTTTAGAAATCTTTGTTTGGTAAAGGAATATATCTTTCGAGCGAATTAAGTGTAAGTTTGCCATACAGTCCTGTGGGGTATGGATGGGGAGGCAGTATACTTGGAAGCGAAATGAGCTGCATAGCTTTGTGCGAACTTATTAATCACGTTGATGTAAAAACTGGGGACTCCGGTAAAAATTGATTCTATACAAAATTGAATTGCTCATCTGGTAATAGAACTCTATTATAAGTGAAAAAGTATTTGTCGTTTTTCAGACAATGACGCTCGCAATGTAGCCGCAGACTCCGTAGGCGGAAAAGTTCCAAATAAATATTATGTAGTGACGAATAGTGAATTGATAAGAGTACGATACCTTCTTGTTTACAGTCAAGAAGTTCAAGCAACAAGGTATACATTTAAAAAAAAATGTTTATATCGATATGTAATACAAAATAAACAATACTCAATGTTTCAGGTACACCGATAATAGAGGATTGTTAGCGTGGTTTAAACAACATAAATTATTAACATTCGTACTCGGTTATGTGGTATTACTAGCTTCAGTTGGTATAACGCATAACAAGCAAGTGGAAAAATATTACAAATTATTTGCTCAAAAAGTTGGGCTGGAGTGAAATGTTTTTTTTTTATATTGTTATATGAGTTGCTAATCCATTAATTTGTATATTACGAAGAAAATTCCCTCCTTTTTAAAATACATTTTTCACTTAAATCTAACGTAAAATCGCATTTATTAGAAATATATACAATTTGTAAATAATATACATAATTTATATAAAATATTGTATTTCCATAGAAATTTTAATATCTAGTCAATATAATAGGAAAATTTTCTGTGACTAAATAGTCATCCTCAAAGACTATGATCAGATTTACCTCGAACTCTGTAACAAAACATAAAAAACATATAATTTATATGAAAAAATAATAAATCGAAGTAAAACCGAAATTAAAACGGTGATCTTACCAACTTTAAAATTACTCGTACTTAGCGTAGGACATGTGAATAACCTTGGGAATATCATATATATTGGTATAGGCAAATTTGTACAAGGATTTCCCTCTCCAATTTGTATATTTTGTATTTCAGTTGCTAAAATAAACATAGAGTCATAAAACGACAAATAAAATGTCTACGCGGATTTTATTCAGACATCTTACCATCTCTAGAGTATCCCTCCGCGCAACCACACGTTTCAACTCTCACCAACTGTAGTTCAATTGATTTTATTACAGCTTCGCAATGTTCAATTACTACTTCTCCTGTTAGCGGTTCCGAGACTTTGCAATACAACGAATCTAGCTTTCCCGAAATGCAAAATCTAGGTACATTAGTTCTGTCCCTTGTATTTTGTAGAGATTCTGGCATTATTTTAAACGTCAATGGCCCTTTGCTGGGTTCTTTTTCTATATCACGAGGCGTTTTGTCCTCTACTATGAACTCCAGCGACTTGCTCACATCTTTTGCTAAGAAACTCCTTTTGATATCGCAGCGAATTAAATATTGGATATTTACAAAGACTCCATGATAGGTTCCGTACAGAGATTTTGTTCCTCTCGGTTTCAATGGTAATTCAAACGGTATTTCTGTTTTACCACTTGGTATTTTTCCACTTGGAGCAACATCTAAAGTATATTGCACCAATTGTATTGGCTGAAAACATGTTGCAAATGTATTTTTCTAAAGTACATTCTAAAGTAGTTCTATTTAAAAATTAATAACCTAAAAAGAACCTAACCTTAACAGAATTATAGAAAGCTTCGAAAATGCCAAAGTTTTTCGAACTGAGTTGCAAATTAACAGAACCTTCCATACTTAGAAATATTCCATCGTGTTTAACGTCTGAATTAGTTTTCAATAATATAAAACCAGCTACTATCTCCTGAAACATAACCTCCATGTTGAACAATATTTAATACAATTATCGTAAAATCTAAAAAAAACGTACCCCTTCGTGATATATTTTACTAGCTCGTTTTAATCTAATATCAATATTTATAGACATTTTCCAAATTATTTATTCTTTATCGATTAACAAATATGTGAGCAATGTCTGACGTTTGTCGACGATAACATTTGTCGAGGAATATTAGTATTTGTATGGTACTTGAAATATTTATTCTATTCGATTGATTCTATTATTATTATACAATTTACGTAACATAATGTACAAACAATTATGGTCGTACATAAATAAGCATATGCAGCCAGGGTTGACAAGATATCAGTTGATATCAGTCAAAACAATCAGCTGTTCCGTCACAGTGACATGGACATACTTCAAATTTTCACATTATTATTTTATTTCTACTTGTATCAGGATCTGATATTTAGAATAGTACTCTAAATACTTCTATTCCAATAGAAAATAGTTAAATCATGTAATTTAGCTGTTCTTTCCAAACATTCTCAATTCTTTTCATTGTTTCTTCACGTGTTTCATTTTTGTTTCAATTTCTAGAGAAATTAAATTATATTATAATACACGAGGAAAGCCATGAAAATGTCTTTTTTATTGAAAAACAAAAGTTACTTATATAATTCCCTATAACCAACGAATGTTAAATTGTTTATATTATCTTACAAATTTGATTCGCATACAGTCACAGTTTGCGTAGTGATGGTTCTAATTACATTCGTTTAAATAGATCGGAGCTAATCATAAAAAAAAAGTGTGTTTATTATTCGAAAAACAGATTTTACTCGATTATCGAGTTCGATCGACTAATCAAACGTTTCAATTTTCCCGCTTTCTCTACCACGCTCCCACATCCGCAGAGGGTGAACTTCCGTTCGGTCGACTAAACAAATTCAAACCGACGAAGTCGTTACTACAAGGTGAACGTTGTTTGGCAAACGGTGGAAGCAGCTAATTTGGAAGACGAATTTTTGGTGTTGCATGAAATCCTTCCTCATCCGGATTAACAATGGCATTAAGAAATCGGACCGGGCTTACAGTAAGTCGTAAAATTTTACAAAAATAACGAACGCTGAACGATCAGCGTGGAATGTCGATGGGGGAGGTCAATAGAACAGGGTAACCGTCCGTTCCCAGACATCTTTAAATGCCCTCTCCTCGTTTTAAAGCCTATTCAAATATCAACCACCGCACTCTCTTTCGTTCCTTGCATTTTCATTCGCAATTCCACGAATCCTGATTACTCTCATTCTTTCAAATCGTTCAGGAATCCAGAATTTCCATTTCTTCAACTCGTTTTTCGTCTCTAACGTACTTCTCGGAATTTTTTTGAAAAAGATACTTCATCGAAAAACGTTCGTTTTAGGATTCTTCGTTGCCTTCTCCGATGATTTTCTATATATTAGAAAATTAAACGATGGCTAGTCGTTCAAATTGTAACAAAAAATTTGATTTAAAATAAACATTTTAGGGGAACGTTTTTTTTCGATACCATGTTTTTTCATTTTTTTTTTGTACATGATTATCCAGAAGACTAATTTAATTTATAATTTATTAACTACTTTTATTCATTATTAAATGAATAATTAAATGTAACCATATTTAATTATGTGTATGTATGTATATGTATGCATGTACATACAGATCCAATATTAAAAAAATATACGTATGTATATAATACAATCTTCTCGAATACATCTATATTGAAAAAGATAGAGGAAAAGATCGTTTATCTTTTTTAAATAGAATTTAATTTCCTTCAAAATTTATTTAAAATATATTTAAAAAAGAAAATTTATAACTAGAATTATTTTCAAATCAATTTTCAGCACATTGTAAATCAGGAGAATGTCAAGAATACGAAGGTCAATGCAATATCAGGGAAGGTAAAAAGAGCTGCTTTAGGCGAAATAGGCAACAAAGTGAGCACGCAACGGGGTGTAGATCACATAGACAAGACCAGTCTTTTACTAAAAGATAAGAAAAAGGCGATAGTACCTGTGAAACAGATATCTGAACCAACGGTAAAGGTATCTGAGAAACCACCTGTACAGGTAGTTAAACCTGTGCAAAAACCTGTAGTCCCTCATGTAGCTAATCCGGTGCCAGTTCTCGAGAAGAAGGAAGTGGAATCCTTTTCGTCAGATCTGTTGTCATTCGAGGACATCGACGCAGAAGATAAGGGAAATCTTACTCTAGTTTCTATTTATACCAATGACATATATGAATATTTAAGAACTTTAGAAAGTAAGTTCCCTATCAAGAAGGGATATCTATTAGGCCAAGCGATTACTTCGAAAATGAGGAGCGTACTCATAGACTGGATAGTCGAAGTTCACCAACAATTTCATTTAACGCAAGAAACATTGTATCTCACAGTTGCTATTATCGATCGATTTTTACAGGTTTGTTAATTAAATATTATTCAAAACAAAGATGAACGAAACTGTTAACTAGATAAATTGTAACCGTTATTTGTAGGATTATCGTAAGATAGACAAGAAGAGGCTACAATTGGTTGGGATAACAGCTATGTTTATCGCTAGCAAATACGAAGAAATGTATACGCCGGATGTAAACGACTTTGTTTACATCACGGATAATACATACACAAAGGTTGAAGTGTTACAAATGGAAATACTTATTGTGAAGACGCTAGACTATTCTTTCGGCCGACCGTTGCCGTTACATTTCCTCAGACGATACAGCAAAGCGGGAAAGGTACGCATTATAAATTTCTACGACGTAACAATTTTCAAATATATTGTGTTTTTCATTGAATGAACCGCTTGTTTATATCAAGGCTCTCTCTATACATCATACGTTCGCCAAGTATTTGCTGGAATATTGTTTGGTGCATTACGAAGTTTCTCACTATCCACCGAGCCTGATCGCAGCTGCAGCACTATATTTAGCATTTGTGTAAGTTGTCTGATCTTAAATGTATAATGTCATTGACATTACCGTCATTATTAACTAGCCACTCATTCCCATTTAATTACATAGACTTATTGGTAATGATGACAATAAGGAAAAAGTTGTCTGGACAAATACCTTGGTACATTACAGTACCTATACAACGAACGACATATTACCCGTAGCACAGCAGATAGCAAGTATTATAATTAACGTAGACAAGAGCAGCCATCAAGCCGTGAGGAAGAAGTACACACAAACGAAATTCATGAAAATTAGTACTCGGCCCGAATTTAAGTCACCGATTCTGCTTGCCATAGCGAAAGCGCACGATAAAGCGGTATAATATTTATATTAAGTGTTAACTGCGTGATGAGACATTTGTTTGTTGAATATGTTGAGAAATATGATTTCAGCATAAATAGTGTGACTCATTTTCAGAAGGAAAATCATACGAAACAAGCAGAAGCGAAACAAAAGAAAGAGAAACGAGACTATCTTTACTCATCCCTTACCCTATGTAATAACCTTATTAAAAATAACATGTAATTACGCATTATTCTATCGGTTATCATCTAACATCACAATTACTCTTGGTAACAACTTTGCTCCGGTATCATCGAAGTAAATCTCAAGTAATGAAACAATGTGCCACCATATCGAGTCATCATAAACAAAATCATCTGTTTAATATATAATTCTCATTTATTACAAATAGAAGAAAAGTTCAGATTGAAATTCAAAACTTGTAAACGATAGTCTCGTTTGTGATCGTCTCGGAGATAATAGACTTATTGAAAGTGGAACGTACGATCATTTAGTTAAGGAATATTAAGGGGTTGTACGAAGTTTGTGAAAAAAGAAACACTTTAATAAGTAATTTTGTGTAATACAGCTTGTAACTCGAGTACCATAACACGTAAGTCACTTATTAAAGGTTTACTTTATTCTTATACGTACTCGCGAAATTTAGATTAATTGTATACAAAAGTTTTCTAGCATAAGAAAGAAACAAGCATGAGAGTATAGTCAAATTTTACCATTAAATCTTTTTTTTTTTTGGATTATTATAGTGTAAAAAACGAGCTACGTTTACCGATAGATCGTATATCGTATCTTTTGTATTAAAATATTGAGAAAGTTTTAACTTTTATTCATGATTATAAATACATTTTTATTTTGATATTAGCTCTATAGATAGTTTTAACATTAATATATGAAAATACGCGAGTATTCCAGACGATATTAATTTATACTTTGATATCGATATTTTCACAAATATTATACCAATGGACTGTCGTTCATTCCTGGTGTTTTACCAGTTTAACTATACGCTTGAAACATAAAATTTGTATAAAATTTATGTAAATGAAATTTCAGTGAAAAATAAAGTGTAACAACGTTTCCGCGGCAATACACATCATTTACGCGACTTGGAATATTATGCTACAATATTTTATACTCCGAATGTACATTAACATTACTTATTTGTTGTATTAAAGTGAAATCCTAGCACGTATTTTGCGAACAGTCTCGCGAAAATAAAAATTGTTATGAATCCCAATAATAGTTGCAACATGTTTTTCGGTGTTGTAACTATTATTCGTATAGGAAGAGTCTATATAGAAACGTCTATCCATTAAATAGAGAATAGAAAATATATTTGTTAGAGGTAGAGAGATCACAACTTGATTAATTTTAGAAATATATTTTACAAAGTATTAATTGTATTTAAATACTAAAATATATTCAGTTTCCAAGGTGAGGAATGTGCTACTGGTGGGTGTGTAACGTAAGATTCTAAAACACAAGTAAATAAGCAAATCATCTTATATAAACGTTTTATATTTATCTTAACTTACCAATTAATTTCTGAGTAGCGGACAATCCTGGAAATTCCGTTGACATAGAAAGTTCGGCGTTTTCCTAAAATATGTCGATATGTAACATATAATACGAATAAATTAATTACGAATATCTTATATCTCGTACCATTTCTGTTAGGCTTGAAGGTGCAGATACGTCCCAAATTTCAGATTTACTTTTCTCTATCAAAAGGAGAAACTGTTTAATATAATTTTGCATTCTTCCTGCATATTCATCATCGTCAAAATACACGAGCACTTGTACCAACGCATGTATATCATCTAAAGTAGAAATTATTGTTATACGTATATTGTTTAAATGTAGAATCTATTCTGTACGATCGATTACAAATAAATACACAAACCCGTCTCTTTGTACGTATTGCTGATGATTTGATATAAAGCTTGAATTAAAGCTAAGTCTTCGAAGGCGCTACCTTCCTTTAAATTTAAGAGCTTCCTTTCGTGTTTCCTACGATTCTTGCTGGATCTGTAACTTTTTCTGAAAATAATTTCATTGACACTGATAATTATCGATACTTTGGTGGTTGTGCCTTGCACCAGTTCCATTGTACTTACCCAGACAAACTGGACAATCTCGATTTTTGACTCATCGTTGAACTAGTGACACTACTCGTATCACTGAGAATGTCTGAAATGCCTCTGTCACATATCGACTCATTGTTCCAAGATATTCCGTCAAAAATCTTCGCATTTCTCTGAGAAATATTTACTCTGACTGTAGCGAGACGCGATCTATGTTGCTCAAAATCATTTCTACTTTTTTGTAGCTGAGACATTATATGATCAGCGTATTCGTATACGCTTAACTTTACACACGACTCTGGAAGATTATATTTCTGTAACTTCTATCGCAGTCTTATCGAGCTCGATTGTAATTGTATTTAAAAATAAACGTACCGATCAGATCTAGACGCTCGGCGTCGTGTGCAATTCGTATAGCATCTTTCCAACGTTTTCCATTGCACAGACAAACCATTGCTTCCTCCGTATTTTGTAAATAATTTGCCGAAATATAAGCTGCTTCCTCGTATCGTTTATCGTTCTTCAAGCATTCCACGAGTTCTTTGTAAAGTGTTCGCTTTTCTATCGGACTGAGACATTGTTTAATTGTTTATAATTATGGATTGCATAATATAGAACATTCAGACTTTGATGCAATTGTTCCTGCTCACCTAAGTTCCATTTGAGTGGACAAGATGATAACTTCTTGCCAACAACCAGCCAACTTGTAAACATCCGAAGCTTGTTTTAGGTCCCCACTCCTATGAAACATGATTCCAGCTTCTTGATAGTGTCTCTTCTTTGCTAAAGATTCGCCATAACTCCTAGCTATTTCCTTGTATTGTTCGCTGTTCTTTTCGAATAATTTCATAGCTTTTGTGTACAAATTGTGGTTATGTATCAGATTCATACATTCGTTGAATCTGTTCGAATCCTTTGCTATATGTTCAAGCGCAGACTCGTAACGTTTTAAGTATAAGTCAATGGAATACTTCATATAATTTTCATCGAGCTTTTTCAGATCATTCAAGAATGGGATATATTCTTTGGGATCTTTTTGCGACTTGGACGCGACAAACATCGTTAGATCAAAATCATACATTCCTAACGCAGTATTGAACAACACATTTACATCTACTATATATAATAAATATTTCAGTGCTTCGTCCGATGTTATGCAGTCCTCGTTTCCCCTAGAGTCGTCTAATCTTCGAATCTCTTTTAATTTAGCCAACGCACCTTCCAGACCTTGCTTCCTTTTATCTTTAACTAGGCTGATTAGTATCGGCTGAATCAAGCGATTACTATCGTTCTTCTTTTCCATAATGTCTCGCAATAAATTGCAAACTATTTCGATTTTATTCGTCGCGGTGTCTGATTTCAAGTGGCCTTTTCTATAATAATCTGCATAGATCGTTGTAGTAACGTCTTCGCTCGCTAACTCGGAAAGCAATAAACTCAACCAGCTAGGTTTGGAAACTTGCTCGACGAATTTATCAGCATTCTCAATAAATTTCTTCGGATCGTGGTCGTGTAGCAGATTCAAATTTATTCGCTGTCTACGCATCAAGTCGAATGCAGAAAGATAATTGCAATTGTCTAGATAAAATCCAATGATATACAAGGACAGAGCTCGTGGTTGTACGCACTCCAAGTTTCCACGAGGCATTTGTAGAATAGTTTTCGAGTCCTTCGGGATTGCTGCAATCAGTTGAGATCCCCTCTCTATCCGTCTCACGTTTAAATCTGAAAATATCGATTGCAATTATGATACAACCAACTTAACTCTCTAAACTCTATTCAAAACTATACCTAAGAATTTCTCATTAGAATTTTCCCATGGCTTGACAGTTAGGTCTTGTTCGACCAACTTGTCGAAATTTTCTTGATTTATGCTCACGCATATTAACGTGTGTTGCGAAGTTGTGAGAAGCAAAAATTCCGAATGAACAAAAAAACTGGTAACATTATTAGTTATCTGCTTTCCATTTATCGCGAAGCAGTTTCTATAGGATAGCGATAGAACGACGTGTTTTTCACCTATTTTCACAATCTCCACTTTGTAAGTGTGATTTAATAATTGTATGTCGATTGGAATTAATTCCCCTTCCCTTGAAAATTTAACGATAGAATTTTCAAGGACTATGTAAGCTTCTTTCGCGTTAGGAGAAGGAACAATGTGATGAATTAAATCTAACATATGATGCATTTCTCTGAAAATAAAGTATAAGAGTAAATGTCGAATGAACGCCACATTTAATATTTTCGTAAATACGGACTTACTTTATTTTTATTTGACTCTGAGTTTCATTGTCTATTGCGTTTAAAGTTAAGACACAAAGAATACTGTGGCCTGCTTTCGATATCGAACATAAAATGATATTTTCATCGAGCCAAAGAAAATGATGCATATCGGATGGAGAATATTCAAATTCTCCTGGACTAATAACATACGATCCAACGTGTTTGTACTCCATAAATGAATCCTGATTTTTTTTTCACTATTAAGATATAGAAGCCCCTTTTACATAACAATCTCACAGAGTATTCTATATACTTACCGTTACATGTTTGTAGAATATTAATTTATTACTGTCAGAGACACAAAAAAATGCATTACTATCTATCCATGAGTTTTCTACATCCGGTGCAAAGACAATAGCATTTATATATTCGGAAGTCTCTAAAGTTTGATGTGCCATCGGTGGTGGTACAATTCCCATTCTGAGTCCAGTTATTAACAACTTACTTCCATCGATTATTCCAACGACAGATTTGTCGTTTATACTTTTGCCTCTACTATGATTAACGCACCAATAATAATCGCAAGTGATGAATTCTTTGAGTGTCACAAAAATTAATCTTTTGCAAAATACAGTTGTGCTCCATGTCGCGCATAACAGTGGATTATCAACAGTGAATCTGATTGTTTCTTTCAAATACCAGTGGCAATTATTTTCTGTCCACAGTTGCAGAATTGAAGAAGAATCTTCCTTCATTTGACACCAAATGGTTAAAACTTCTGAGTCTGGAGACCAAAATAAATCTTTCACCTGCAATACAAGTTACAAAAAAATTTATAAGTTAAAATTAGTGAAACATAAAGCTTGAATTACTATATAAGAAAAAGAATATATATATATATATACCTTAATTTCATCCTGCTTAGAAGTAAGTGTGAATTCTCTGTGCTTCAAGCCATTCTTCTCAAAAAGAGCAATAACGTGCTTATTCGCCAAGTTCTGTGTTGTTGCAATTAAACTGCCAGATGGTTTCCATGATAGTGGTTCTTGTAGACCACTGGTAAGCTCGCTTGTGTATTGTAAAATACCTTCCCTATTAAATACTTTAAATTGTCGTACTGCAGTGTCTCTGTTTAAGAAACCAACAGCGAATAACAAGCCATCTTCACGCCAAGTTATCCTGCATAATTCATCGTCTGATTCATTTTTAGATAGCTGTGTTGGCTTTGCCACTGCTGCTTTCTTTCCTTCTGATCCGTGAAACTGAGTTTCTTTTCTACCCCATCCAACAGTTACAAATTGTTTCTGACCAAATTCTGGAGCATGCAGGTCAACCTAAAATATATAAATTTATAAACATTAAGCAATCGTAAACTTTCATACATTATTCAAAATCATAGATTTGATAAATTGATTAGAAATATATTTACCTCCGATATTATATCGAAAGTAGATACCATTGTAATTACAGTACCATAATCTGTAATTACTATTATTATTTCGTGGTCTGGGCTGAGTTTCATACATTGCAAATCTACGTTCAACTGACTTATTACTTCGCATTCAAATTCAGATTCTACATTTATTCGCATAATATCACCAGATTTGCAGGCACCATACAATTCTTGGGTAACGATAGAATACTCCAAACCGACGAATTCTAATTTCTCGTCGATATTAAAGAAAATAATATCTTTCTCATATTCAGATGGTAGTTTGTATATTTTATTCTTTAATAATATGTACAAATCATCATTTACTGAATTAACAGCGTGCAATATCGGTGAATCGCTTGGAATCTCATTCTGTAAAGATTCTAAACGTCGACTGACACGTCGAGTCACTGTCAAATTTTTCATTATTTATTAACAATTTATATCTACGATATACAAAAGTATTATAAGAGTCGATCTTTGTTAATTATTGTACGAAAATGTGTCCAAACATTAACCTTTACGCGATTGCGAGATAAAGTAAGAGGTTATGTTTGATCATGCTGCAACATGCGCAGTGCTGTAGCTATAGAAAACAATGTATGATCCCATAGCAACAGTTCGCGCTAAAACCACGGAAACCGTTTTTTATTTATAAAAAAATGTGTTTTGTCTATAAAATTATTTCAACCCCTATGTTTAATTTATCCTCACAATTAACATCATTCCACGCTAAGAAGTATTTCCAATTTTCATTTATAATTCTATTTTTCTTCGGGTCGCTAAGAGCGCCAGTTTTACGGTCGTATTAGATACTGTACTGACGCTGAAACTAATAATACAAACTGATGTAAACAAAGAAAAAAATGTGTAGGAAAAAATATATTTTCATAAACACATGATTTCCTATAAGTATTTGTCCAAAACAACATTTCAATCCAGGTCGCAAACATTAACATTGTTTCGGTCTGTTTAATATTTAATATTACTTATAATTTTCACACATTGAGGTTAACACAGTACAGTACAATACTATGTACATAAACAGATTTACGCTATTAATCATTTTGTATATATTTTCTATAATAATGACACAATAATCCTACAAAGTATCAGTAAACGATAAAAACAAATGCATTTTAACCTCTTAATTCAATTTCTCCTAATCTTAAAATATAAATGACACCATGGATGCAAACAATGTTGACGACGAAGACGAAGATATCGTCATACAGGTATGTTGACTCTTGTCACAAAAATAATATTATTATTATATAATAACAGTTTTGCTTCTCATCTTTAGGGTAGTGCCCTGTATGAACATTTACATAATTTGGGTTACACAGACTTTACGAGTGTAGCCGTACTCAAATCAACAACCAAAAACAAAGGAAGAAGTTTTAGATTTATTGTAAATTTTATTTTACTTCAAACAAATCCATGAACGTATTATCATTCGATACAATAAATATTTATGTACTTTTAGGACTTTATACACTCTGCAAAAAGTATTTTCAAGAAACTATTTGTCGTATACTTGAGAATAATTCAGGTGATGTGTTAATACATAGTTTCTTATGGTAACATATTGTAAAATATTGATAATATAAAATATTTTTTGTAATAGGATGATACTGTATCTAAAAAGCAAGTAGGAACTATTTTAAACGCAAAGGTTCTTTTAAATGATCATGCTTGTATAATACATGGTTGTCTCGACAAATATAATTGTAAATCATGGAGGTAAATATCTAAATTTATTCAATAAATTAGCAAATATTAAAAGTTAATAGGCATGACAAAAATAACACAAATAGAATGCTCAAAATATTAATGTTTTACAGGACTATGCTATTGAAATTTATTTTATTAGGTGCAGTTTTAACTTCCCCGGTGTATATTCCATTTGGTACACGATATAAAAGTTCAACAAATTTATTTATATTATTTACATTATTGTATGTTGGTTACATTGAATATACAAGAGTATACGCGCATAGGGATTTAAAAACTGTCGTATCTTTACAAAATGATTTATTCGATCTTTATAAGAAAGGATTGAAGATTTTAAGATACGGATATAAAATAAAGTTAAACAAGAGGAAATGTTCTCAAGAGTTTAAGTAAATTTTTGATACTATGTGTCAGCTATTCTGCAACTATTCTTCTGTAATTTTAACAATTAATATTTATTATTTACAGTGATCTTACAGCAGGTAGATTGAAGTATTTACAACCCATAACAGAAAATTTAGTGAAGTGTTTGGAGCATGCTTCGCGCACTTACTATCACGTTTCTTTAATTCTTACAAAAATATTACCAATAAACGTGTTTCACGAAGATTTACTAACAAGATTTGAAATTGAATCATTCGAAATACGGGGTGAAATAAATTATCAAAAATTAAAAGTAAGAACGAAAAGTATCTTTCAATTCTAAAATGATTACAACGTTTGTAACAATTAACATCTGTATCATTGTCTTTTTTGGATAGAATTTATACCACACCTATATTCTCACGCAATCAGAGATGTTACACTTACTAGCTATTGCATACGACAACCATACTTGGGAAAAATCTTGCAACAAGATTCCCGAATTAAAATTAGCTTACATAATTCATTTTTTAATCAAATATTTGACAGTTTATAAGAACAAATTGTCGAAAGTGATCGATGCCTATTATTCTTTCAAAGTCGAACCAACGTTATACAAGTACAGGTTAGAATACCTTATATATCTAATAGCTTTTCAATTCATCGATAAAAATATATGTTAGTTATACATCCTTATTATTTTAGAGGATCAGCTTCATCTCAGTGGCAGGATCTATACATGCATCTGTACCTAGGTTCCAATAAGTTACAAGTGGCTTATGGTCATATATTATCGATAATTCGTGATATCGATGACAATATTTACGAAAACATACCACACGAAGATTATGTGGAAAATACGATGCTAAGACTGAACGAAGCAATGAAAGATATCGAAACCGCGAAAAGTTTCGTCGAGTTTAGTAGTTTGTTCCTCGTAAAAACACGAAATGAAAACCGTACGGATAATTATTCGGAGATGAATATGTTAGCACCGGTTGCAAATTCCGATATGCCTGTTGTACACGATTCGGAACCAGAAATTTTGGACGAGGTGTTTGAAGAATACATTAAGGATGAATACTTGAAACCTTTGAGCGAAGAATGCGACGAGATCTTATTGTACAACCATAAGCGGGACAAATCATTATTTAAGAATTTTATGATCGAACTGAAGGATGCTTTAGTCGATAAACAAAAATCCATGTCCATAAGGGAATTGAAAGCACTTGAAAGAATGCAGAAAAATGTAATAAATGAAACAAATTCGGATGATTATCGCTATCGCATTCCTACGCCTCCACCAATGCCATCATTCGATAATGCACTCTCAATAGAACAGCAAGACGATACAATTAAGATGCAATCTAATAAATCACCCCAAGAATCTAAAATTGTTAAACCCATTCTTGAAAGCAGAGAAGATTCGAACGAAAACGATCTACACGGTTCTCTTGCTGAAAAAACATCTCCCATTTTAGCAATACCTCTGCCAATAAGTAACGAGTTTTCGTTAATTTTTCCACCCCCATTTTTGAAAGCTAGCGAGGAAACGTTCACAGGCAGTGGTGAAAATTCGGAAGATGAGGTTATCGAAACAAATAATGAAAATTGATGTAATAATTGAAATAAATCGAACATTACTAATAGCAGTAGCTTCCACCAATTATGTTTTCTATAACGAAATAAACATGTGTGTATTTTTTACCGATAGTTTCCTAAAAAAAAAAAAAAAAAACTAAACATCGATTAAAGTATTATTTTTATGATCATTTATTTACAACTTCGAACAAAATTACACACTTTACCTAGGGTTTCGTTAAAATAAGATTTCGTTTGAACATTTTGCGTTTTGCATATACTAATGATAATGAGAATTACTACAAACATTAACATGTATAATATTACTATCAATGTAGATGTCTTTTACGATAATGAAAGTGATTTTATAGTTTGATAATTAATGTGCATCATACGATGTACAAAATGCGTCAACGTATGAACAAAAATAGAAATAAATATTAGAAGTTAGTACATTATTCACGTTAATGGAATTGCAGAATTGAAACAGACAATCTTTAATACGTCTTATAACCTATTATTGCGTAGTCTGTGCAATATAATAGTAAATATTAGATATTTCATAAAAAAAAAAAAAAAATACTGACGAAATATTAAGAAAAAGTACTTAGGTGCGAGTTATACAATAATTTCTTTTACAATAGAAACATACATGCAAATCGCTTAGTCATTTCTTGCTAATTAAACCCTTTACGGACGGAGCCGTTCGACGAGCGAGCGTCTCTGGGCAGCTATTTGCCAACATGCGTCAAAGGGTTAATGTTTAATTTTTCTAGTGAATCACATTGAGTACAAATGAATGACGATATATAAATTTATTTATGCTTCAAAAAAATTAAAAATTGCTAATATAGTTTATCAACAAGAAAATTCTTTCCGTTACGTAATTAGATTGTTCGTAGAGTGAATATCGAGTTATTTTTCGTATTATTAATTGCGACATGCCAGTGACGAATCGACAGAAATAACGTTACTTTGCAATTTAAACATCTGGGTAAAACAAAAAAAAAATATTTGAAGTATTAATGTATATTTGGTAGGTCTGGTTGATTTTAGAAATGAAAAGACGTGATATAGTTCGATACTATTCACTTAGGAAGTATTTCTAATTCCTCTTCTATAGTTATCGTTCCCTAGTATAGTTAAGGAAGTACAAGATTCGAAACATACCGAAGGAAGCAAAGTCATATGTATATAAATGTATTTATCTTTGAGTACTGTTGTTTCATAAAATTCAACTAAACAATTATATATAATATTCCTTCATAGGAGGAACGAAATACATTTTGAACTCTGCTGTACAATATAAATACCATTCTATAAGTTAATTCAAAAGCGCTATAACGCTAACCATGGATGATAACGAATGGCTTCGCGACTCCGATCTCCATAGTCGTAAGTAACTTCTACTCCGACAGGTATATTTTCTTTTGCCGTAAGTACCAAGTGAGGCGTCGAACCTACCTCTATGACTCGTGCAATTAAATTACCATTTCTTGAATGGTTTACTAGTCTACCTAACTTATCAGTCTCTGCTGTTGCATCGACGCTAAAAATCCAAGGATACACAAGTGATGATCAGTTTGTAATATTTCACAGAGATATTGGACGGAACTACAGGTTGACGTAACCATAATAATTTCATTCTTATTAACACTTTAATTTATGAGATACGAATGACGATACTTACCAATACTGATGATTACGGTGTTGAAAATAATACATATAACATCCGGTGTTATGATCTTGAGCGTATAGATTTTCACGCTTTTTTGCTGTTATTTGATCGATCAATTCACCAACATATTCAACTACGAACTCGCCTTTTGTGAATGCTCGCGTTGTTACAACCCCACGACCCTTGCCGCTAAAATGTCTTATCTAGAAAAAAATATTTGAAAAGTTAAGAAAGATAATATTTTCCATGCAAGTTGATTTCTATCAGCTCCTTTACCTCCAAACCCTCTTCTACTTGACAAAGCACTTTATTTTCCATATCGCGTTGTTTTTCCTCTAATACAGCTTTCTTAGATTTTCTCACACTTCGGCGTATCGGGAAATAATCTGTGAGCTTGTGATTTGTACTTTTAACGTTTGTAGAGTCCGTCGCACGATGACTCGTAATTAGATTGCTATTCAATTTTCTACGGCCACGGTTAGAAGGTTTCTTTAAAGGTTGTTGCTCCGAACAAGACGTCGATACCGCAGACTTCTTATCCTTATCGTCGTTTGTATTTCGTTCGTCTAAATCTTCTAATTGATTGTTTGGCATGTTTATCCTGTGTGGCGTCGATGGCCCGTGAATTGGTACAGCAACAGGTGTTTCTAAAATATTTTGTAATAATACACGATGTATTTATTAAAAAACTTTTGTATTTGTCGACGTAACGGTATTATTTACAAAATGTATATCGTCTATACGAACATTACCATCTGTCCTGAACTGAGTAACGTCCGTAATAATATCATTTTGTACACCGGTAGTTTGTTCATGTCCGTAAAAGTTTTCTTCAAAGGATACTATGGAAGCTTTACTCTTCGAGACATCAGGGCTCGAAATGTGTGCGATCTAAGTTTGAGAAATATATAATGCTCTATTAAATCCACAAATTAAATTAATTTTTAAAATGTTTTACCCGTGCGTAACAGAAGGAACCGATGCACATGGAAGATTTATGTATTTCATCCGGGTCATTGTTCTCTATATTTCTACTTTTATCTAATTTGGCTTCCTTCTTCATTGGTGAACCTGTGTCGTTGTATTGCAAGGATAAAACAGCAGATCTCGTACGAACTACGTTTCTCGCTTGTACACGTTTTCGTCTTCCTGCAATTAAACCGAACTCTGTGCGTATAATTCGATACCAAGAAACGAGACATATAATAAAAATAAAAAAAGAGTATAATCGTATAATACAGACGATACTTGAATATTAAACATGTTTAGTATTCGTTCAAGAGTTATCAACTAACATGCCATTTAGATACTTGAGAGGTTTTACAGAAATTCATAAAATGTTCGACTAACAAACGTCTCTAAAATAATGCTCAAAATGGAGCGAGGAGGAAACGAATCTATCAAAACATAACCTGACTACAAAACGAAATCTTAAGAGAAAGTACGGTCGAATTTTTTAAAATCGCACTTCTACCTTTCACCATGTTACCGCTCGATGTCCCTGTATAACAAACCAATACTGAATTTAATCTTCTCATACAAAATTTTCGTTCCGCGCGAGTTACCCGTTCCGATTTCCTTGGCCACTGGTCGACGCTAATTCGCTTTATGCAAATGATTCTTAATAATTCGAATCTTCACTCTGGCGATTACCAAACAGGCTTTCCCCATTCATGCGTTCGTAAATTTGCATTTGACTCGAAAGAAACGAATAATTTCCTAGCGTTTTCGTTCAAAATTACGGCCGACTTGTTCAGAGCATCTTCCTAAGGAGACGAAATCGAAATTACAAACAACCTCGAAGCAACACACCGGATATGCCGCCATTGCTCGTCATGTTACGGTAAACTATTATCAAATTAGACAGTATGGCTGTGCAACGGGTCTGAAGGACGATGCGGAGTGTAATACTACGGACAGGGGGGGTGAAGACTAAATTACGGAGGGGAAACGATCTCTGGAGTGATCTTCAGCCATCTTGCTCTGGTCAACCATGGTCAACCATTGCTGCCATCTGTTGAAACCAGTGATGCCAGCCGAGACGCGTTTTTTCGTGGATACGCGGCCGGAATGGCCGTTAACAGTGTCGTATCCAGTGATGGGCAAAACCCTAGGCTTCGAATAAATCTGAAGTTTACTGATATATTTGTCTCGTTTCCTCTTTTGAAAATTTTCCAAAGAAGGAAACGAGACAAACATATCGGCAAACTTCAGATTTTATTTGAAGCCTAGGGTTTTGCCCATCACTGGTCGTATCCAGTGATGGACATTCGTGGGATTTTTCCTTCGAGGTATTCCTTTCTGCGCATGCGTAAGCTGACGTCACAGCTACATGTCGTCTGCTACCATACATGTATCCGAACCGCCAGAGGAGGTGCATTTAAGGGGCCTGTGCAATTTTTCCGCTTTTTTAACGGACAAATTAAGGACAAGAGTGTTAGTGTTCGTGAGTGTACTATTAGGGAAAATTAAAAAACAAATGGATAATGAATCGCAGCCGTCCACGTCAGGAATCACCGAGGAAAAGAAGGGGACATTATATTTTGTTCCTTACTGGGATCCAATGGTACCCTAAATTCTAAGTAAGTGTATACAGCAGTGAGGACTGCAACGCTCGCTCCAATGCGAATGATCAGGAAAAATCCCACGAATGTCCATCACTGGTCGTATCCATGGTAACAGAAGGGGCATTATGGCTATTGTTGTGGCTATGACTGCGTAAAACATGAATATATTTGTCTTTATTATTTATATATTGCCTATACTTTTATATTGCCTTTATACATTGTCCTATCTTTATCCTTAAATCATGAATATATTTGTAAAATTATGAGGGGGTAATTAAGATACCCCTTTTTAGTCGCGCGTATACTTGACTGATGCTACGTTCGCCGCGCATGCGCGGAAGCACGCTTCTCGGCTGGCATCACTGGTTGAAAAGCGGGAAAATTCAAATAAACGCCTGCACGTATTATGGATTATTGCAGTAGCTTACCGATCTACATAATTCTATGTAGTATCACGTATAAAAATCTATACTAATGATTTTATTTAATAAAAAGGAGTACAAGTAGTTAGACAATATACAAATGGGTAATATACAAACAAGGGGTATTCGAATACTGACATTTCAGTGTATTCCTAGTAATAAGGTAAAAATATATTCTCCATGGATATATATACAGTTTCTAAATAAAATAAATGCTCGATTTCTATTTTCATGATACGAAATTGACTAAATCAAATCATCTCCCGATGTCGTTTAGTTCCTCGAACTCGTCGCTAGGTGACGTTGTCAGCCGCGCGAAGCTCGGATCGATCGTATTAGAACGGTGTTATTTTTTAGATAGATTTAGGTAAGTAATCGTAGAATACGCGGCGGAGGTGTATTATTTTAGCAAATCGATAGTTCGGAACCCCTCGAATTTCGCGAACGAATCGAAATCCGCTGGAACGCGCATTATTCGTGATTTCTGGGTCGAGTTAGCCGTTCGATTCTTTTCTTTTTACCGCGGATACTTTAAATCAACTAACGATCAGCGCTGCGCTTCGGCGACGTTGCCAAACGTTCGCACGGGCTATATTCGTTTGACCGTAACCACGCGCGTGCGAACACATGATACGCGATATGCATGGTTTGTTTACCGTTCATTGTGATTCGGAAGAACACGTGCTCGATTAAAGTGATTGTTAAAATTCTAGTATTCGTGTGAACACGTGCGCTAGCGACTTCTCCCCTCGTCTCGTCGATATTACTCGAGGCAGTGACGTACGATTTGTGCCACCGACCGCGGACGAGCCAGCAAACGGGAAAGCAATTTATTTAAATGGTATTAAAAACAAACACGGATCCATCGAAATTTTCTTAGACGAGTCGAACAGAGTTAGGGAATCGATTTCACGAATGACAATTAACAATTCGTTATTATATCGAGACAGAGTATGTTACGTTTGTAACGTTCGACGATATTATATGCGTCGAGAGGCATTCGTTTCATTTTAAATTTGCATGCCTTGAAAAATGTAGTTACGAAATAGTCGACAGATGTCAGAATTTCCTGCTGTTTTTTCATTGGCAGCGAAAAAGTTCGGAATAAATTTATTTTACACGCGTCCGAATCGAAATATTTATAAAGTCGAGAGAGTTTCTATTGATCAGGATCTAACGGTTGATTTTTTTTTTTTCGAAAGTGCCGCAATTTTTTGGATGACGCGCTCCTGAGAACCTCCCCTTAAACCAGTGACTCTCAACAAACATAATCAAATATGAAAACCGTACGCGGTATACAGGCTGTCCCAAAAATGTTGTAACACCTTGAAAGGGGTGGTTCGGAAGGTGAATTTGAAACTACTTTTTCCTGAGCGAAAATGTTGTACGAGGCTTCGTTGAGGAGATATTAACGGAAAACACTGACCAATCAGAGCGCGCGTATACCGTTGGAGCGACTAGCCGTCCGCGCTTATACGCTACAGTGGTCGCTCCACCGGCATACTCGCGCTCTGATTGGTCAGTGTTTTCTGTTAATATCTCCTTAACGAAGCTTCGGACAACATTTTCGCTAAGGAAAAAGTTGTTTCAAATCACCTCCCAAACCACCCCTTTCAAGGTGTTACAACATTTTTGGGACACTCTGTATGCATTACGATATAATAATTCTATTTCATAAATTCGTACGTTCTAAACCGAATAAAAAATAATTTATTTCGCTCGCGATATTTTCTCCCATCGCGAATAATTTATTTATAATTTCGATATAGTACAAATTACCACGAAATTTCCCCTGCGGTAATAATGTTCGCTTTTCGAAAAAGTGTCCCGTATAAGTTTCAATTTCGTTCATCTGTCGTGTTCTCTCGGCGACGGTTGAGAACCACTGGCCCCGAACGCATCGATTCGGCAACGCCGCGCGTTATTCCGCAAGCAGCGGCCATAGCTAGCGCGTGTGTTTTTGTATTTGCATCGCGGTGCACCGTGGGCCGGGCGAAAGCCAAGATGGCGGCAGCCGTGTTTGGCGAACGCGTTTCGAGTGTGTGCTCGGTCTAGACCGCATAAATGGCTCGGCCTAAGCGCACAGTACGTTCCCACGCTGTGATATACTGATCCGCACAATTCGCCAGGTGTTCGATATCGTTCGTGTGATGTCCGTTTGACGAGACACGAACCACGAGATTCTTAAGGGAGGAAAAAAGTGTCCGTCTCGTGCACCCTGTCACTGTTCAGCACCTTCAACCGCACGCCGAGGATAATATTCGCCGTCGTCGTTCCGCAGAGGTGGTCCGTTCGTCTCGTATCATTCGCGATCGCGAGGACGTCGATAGATCTTTTGTCATGGTGAGTTTTCTTTTTGTTTCTGTTTTTTTTTTTTTTTTCGTTTATTGTCGTCGCGCGTTAACAAACGTTCGCGGGAGGGCGCGCTTTTTCTCGCGCGACGTTGTATTTTCTTCCGCGAGAGCATCCATCTCTTGGCACGACTAACCTATAGACGCGATGTATACGCACCGTCTCTCTTATTGTAATTTCAAATGACTCACACCGTTCTCCCTCTCTGCGTTCTTTCTCGCCCCCCCCTTCCTCTCCCTCTCCGCCACCACCCCTTCCTCCATCTTCTCCTCCTGCGAGCTGAATAAAATACGTCTGTCGAGTAATAAATAATAAATAGTTCGTTCAACTTCCGAATTTCGTTCGTTTCGATCGAAACGAATTTCCATTGGCACGAACGTGGAAACACGAAATTTAAGTACTATCTGCAACAAAACTCTAATTACTGTTTTGAGTAATATACGTTCGTAGTTAAATGTAAATAAATTGCAACGATTGTGCAGTGAATTGCATTGGGTTTATTTCGTTTCCAAACTTCATCCGTTTAATTGAATTATTTCCATTGTCGCAATCATGGAAACATGAGACCGATGGTATTCGCGATAAAAGCATTTGAATTGTTATTTTAAGTAACGAATAACTTGGAAAATAATTACAATTGAATGCAGACAATTCGTCACTTGTTTCTATTAAAGTCATCTACAGGTATTTAAATAATTATAATTTGTGTCTATAACTAGTCTCTATTTAATTTGCTACATAACCTCTACGTTGATGATTTCTTAACCAATTTTAATGTGTAAACATTGACATAACATTTGTCCGTTTAAAAATTGTTCAGGACAGTTCAACCGAAAGCTTTCTGTTATATTTCATTAAAAAATTAAACTCGATGAGCGAAAAATTAAATTAAATAGTGGACATCAAAGCGAATGTATATAAGTTGTAACAGATATAGTAAACATACTGCGAATTAATAATTTTGTAAAATATCAAAATGTTCATTTTAGTCAGCTAAAAGGGATAAGGATGCAATGAACGAAGACAGTAGCAGCGACGAAGATGAAGATCCCGACAATATGGGAGTGCCAGGTAAATTTTTGGAACAGGTATTTAAAAAGAAATTTTATAATAAATTAATTAACAATGTTTTCTTCAGGCGGTGGAAAAGATCTGGCCACTGCTACCGGTATCGCCAATATCAAGGATGAGAAACCGGCGGATGCCCCATCTAATCTTATGGTTAAAGGACAAGGGGGGATAAATAGTAAGAATTAATTTAACATATTCGTAATACATTAATTAGTAACTTAAGTAATTTATATCGATATTAAAAAAAAAAAAAAATATTCTTTTGACAGTGATGAATCAGAAGTTTGGTAGTAAAATTCCTGGAGGATTGGTAACTAAGACAGGAATACCTGGTTACGAAGTGGTGCGCGTGGGAGGATCGCAGGGTGCACCACCTGGTTTTGTCAATGCGAGTCAGTTGAGTCAACTGGGGCAGTTAGCTGCAGCTGGACCGTACGGTTTTACACCAGGGTTGGCGTCTTTCGCAGGCTTTAATCCTGCTGCTTTTTTTCCACCGAGTATGTATCGATATCTCGTTGCAAAATCTTACTATCTTATAACAAGGTCACATCTTTATTTTCATGTGTGCTGTGCAATTCGAGTATGCGTTTAATGTATGTATGAATTAGCCATGCACATACATTACATAGGAGTGACTACATGTGTAATAAGACTGTAATTTTGTTTCATTGTTGTATTGCACATAACATTGATAATTGTGACATCTATTATAACAATAATGACATCGCCAAAGACAGAATCGATAGATCATAAGTATATTATTATCCCCAGGCATGGATATGAGCTTGATGAGTGGTTTTATGGGTATGCCTGGAATGAACATGGCTGTTAATCCCCTTGTACAACTGTTAAACCAAAATGGTTTACATCCAAACTGGCCAGCTGGGCTGTCAGGTATTCTCGTTTATATAAACTCAATGTTCCTTTTTTTTCCTCGACGTATCAAATAATTAAATAGATCTCCCGTTCATTTTTTCAACTCCCATTAAAGCACAAGTATACAAATATTCATACAAACTGTTTCTCTATGTTCCATATCATTCTGTATTCCAAATACTCTCTTATCGTAGGATAAAATATTTCTGGTATAACAACAATTATACAGAACATTATTGCAGGTAAAGCTGTGTCTCAGTTGTGGATGAATGCTGGAGATCCTACTAAAATGACTATGCAACCTACTTTACCAGAAGAGGAAGAGGTGGATGACGAAGATATGGGCGTTGCGGAAACGTACGCCGATTACATGCCGACAAAACGTATGCGCGATTTATTTAAATATGTAGTTTGGTACTTCGGCTCGCGAATTGCAGTTTCTTAACCATTTTTCTCTATAATCGTCGACAGTTAAACTAGGACGGAAACATCCAGACCCCGTCGTAGAAACGGCATCGTTATCTAGCGTTGAACCAACAGATGTCTGGTATAAAGTTTCAATACCGGAAGAATCAATACGAACCGGGGCTTTATCGGCGTTACAGCTCGAATCTATAACGTACGCGTCCCAACAGCACGAGCACCTTTTGCCAGACGGTTCGCGTGCTGGTTTTCTCATTGGTGACGGTGCAGGAGTTGGAAAAGGACGGACCATAGCTGGTATCATATTTGAAAATTATTTAAAAGGGAGGAAACGCGCTATTTGGGTTTCTGTCTCGAATGATCTCAAATACGATGCAGAGCGTGACTTAAATGACATTGGCGCATCGAAAATTGAGGTATTCTAACTTTATTCTGGATTAAGAAGCGAATCGTATTAGTCTTAATGGTAGCAAATTTAACGCACCGTACCTGTAAACGATTTACATGAAATTTATACGTAGGTGCACGCATTGAACAAGTTCAAGTACGCGAAAATTTCGTCGGCCGTGAATGGAAATGTAAAGAAAGGCGTGATATTCAGTACGTACTCTGCTTTAATCGGAGAGTCCACGCAAAGTGGAGGCAAATATAAAAGTCGATTGAAGCAACTCTTACAATGGTGCGGTGAAGACTTCGATGGTCTGATTATCTTCGACGAGTGCCATCGCGCGAAGAATTTGTGTCCTACGGGTAGCTCCAAACCAACTAAAACCGGTACGTATATAACATAGTATATAATACGATTCATGCGATACAGAATCGATACTTAACGATGTATTTGCAGGTTTGACAGTTCTGGAACTACAGAACAAACTGCCCAAAGCCAGAGTAGTGTACGCCAGTGCCACGGGGGCATCCGAGCCCCGGAACATGGCGTACATGGTTCGGCTGGGAATGTGGGGCGAGGGAACCCCTTTCCCCGAGTTTACCGATTTCATTACCGCTGTCGAGAAACGAGGAGTCGGTGCAATGGAGATCGTGGCGATGGACATGAAATTGCGCGGCATGTACATCGCCCGGCAGCTCAGTTTTCACGGTGTAGCTTTCAAAATAGAAGAAGTACCGCTATCCAAAGAATTTACCGCAGTATACGATAGTTCAGTTCGATTGGTGAGTACCAAGGAAAATAAAAATAAAAACCGCCATATATTCAACGGTTCGCTAAATATTCCTTTCGAATTCGACGCAGTGGGTCGAGGCGCTGCAAAGGTTTCAAGAAGCGGCCGAACTGTTGGATGCCGAGAATCGCATGAAAAAGACGATGTGGGGCCAGTTTTGGTCGTCCCATCAGCGATTTTTCAAATACCTGTGCATCGCCGCTAAAGTGAAGCATGCCGTCGCGGTTGCTCGCGAGGCTGTCAAGTGCGGAAAGTGCGTTGTGATTGGTCTACAGTCCACCGGCGAGGCTCGCACGTTGGAGCAACTGGAACGCGACGACGGGGAACTCAGCGACTTTGTCTCCACCGCGAAGTAAGTAATCGATAGCGACGATTTTTATAGGGTGGAATAGAAGAACGATAAAAAACTAGTACACCTACGGGACGATTCTCTCGCTAATCCTTCACTTTTCAGAGGAGTGCTGCAAACGTTGGTCGAGAAACACTTTCCAGCGTCGGATCGCAATCACATACAGCGAGTTCTGGGTATCGAGCCGTCGAAAATGCAGAGGTTGGAGGACCTCGACGACATGGACGGTGCAGGTGGATCCGCGGGCGGTAGCAAGAGGAAACCGATACGACAAGCAGCCCAGAGGGCTTCGAAGAGAGTCCGTACCTTTCCATCGGACGACGATTTTACCGACGACGAGAGGAACGGTGGTCGCAGTTCCGACTCTGAATACAAACAAAGTGGCAGCGAGAGCGAGGACGATCACAAAACTGACGTGGAGAGTAATATCACCTCCGATTCTTCCTTCCAGTACACCGAGTCGGACTCTGGTTAGTCTCACAAAACAAGAACTCTGTTACTTTTTGAAATATTAACCGCGATCCATAGATCGAATAGTGACGATTTGTCGCTCGTGTTGCAGATTCGGGCGATAGACGAAAGAAGAAAGGTAAAAAGCAAAAGAAACCGGTGAAGAAACGCGCAAGCTACGCAGGTGCCGCCAGTGGAAATGCAGCAGCTCGTAGTCGAGCACCGTCGAGAGACGCTGTCGAGCGTGCCTACCTCATGAAGAAAGAGTTGCTGTCGCAGATAGAAGACCTAGGCGAACGACTACCACCCAATACCTTAGATCAACTTATAGACGAGTTCGGTGGGCCAGAAAACGTCGCTGAGATGACCGGTAGAAAAGGGCGAGTCGTCCAAACGGAAGACGGCACCATTCAGTACGAATCTAGATCCGAAGTTGACGTTCCATTGGAAACTCTTAATTTGACGGAAAAACAAAGGTACGTGCACAACGGAATATATAGATGAACTGATTGTAAAAGAAAATGTGAATAGCTCAGTGGTTAATTTCGCTACAGGTTTATGGACGGTGAAAAGACTGTGGCCATTATCTCAGAGGCCGCTAGCAGCGGGATATCTTTGCAAAGTGACAGACGAGCAAGAAATCAGATGCGCCGGGTGCACATCACGCTGGAGCTCCCGTGGAGCGCCGACAGAGCGATACAACAATTTGGACGTACGCATCGTTCGAATCAAGTGAACGCACCGGAGTACATATTCCTGATCTCAGATTTGGCGGGTGAGCGAAGATTCGCTTCGATCGTCGCTAAACGTCTGGAGAGTCTCGGCGCGCTCACACACGGAGACAGACGAGCTACGGAAACGAGGGATCTCTCGCAATTCAATATCGATAACAAGTATGGACGTTCGGCCCTAGAAGCAACTATGAGGACTATAATGAAGTTTGTACTCTTACGTGTTTCTATAGCACAGAACAGAATTTCATTGGATTAACGATATTATTTAAAAATGCTAGGTACGAAGCACCGCTTGTGCCACCCCCTCAAGACTATCACGGAGATTTCTTCAAAGACGTGGCCGACGCGCTGGTGGGCGTCGGTTTAATATGCAACAGCGAAAGCACGCCCGGCGTACTCACGCTGGACAAAGACTACAACAACATGTCGAAATTCTTGAACCGTATTCTTGGCATGCCGGTCGATTTGCAGAATCGCCTGTTCAAGTACTTCACCGACACCTTGAACGCGATCGTCACGCAGGCGAAGAAGACCGGCCGGTTCGATATGGGTATACTCGATCTGGGCACTTCGGGAGAGAACGTGCGGAGAGTGAAATTGTATCGTTTTCTGCGGAAACACGCCACTGGTAAGGCGCCAACGGAGCTCCACGTTGTTCACGTCGAGCGCGGGATGAATTGGTCCGAAGCATTGGACAAGTGTTCCGAATTGACGGGATCGAAAGAAGGATTTTATTTGAGCCATCAGATCCGTAATGGAAAACAAACGGCGATCCTTGCGGTTGCCGTGGATACTGGCAAGAAGAAGTCCGAGAGCAAAAAAGATCAGTTGTACATGGTTTACAGGTATAATGTTGTTTATCTTTTATTAAATTACTCGTAAGTTGAAGAAAGAAATTATTTACATTTGTCGATAGGCCCAACACAGGATTACAATTAAGGCAAGAGACTCTAGGAGAATTAGAGAAGAAATATAAGAAAGTATCTTCGGACGAAGCGGAACCCCATTGGTCGCAGCAATACGATGCTTCCGTAGATACGTGTTCGCACGCTTATTGGCGTGGTAATTGTAAAAATGCAACGCTTGGCATGGACTGCGAGGTCGGACTCCGAAGGCGTTCCTATAATGTCCTTTCCGGTTCCGTATTGAGCGTATGGAGTCGAGTAGAAAGCATTCTAGCAACGCGTTCCGGTCACAACTCTAAGATGCAAGTTGTACGCTTACGAACTGGTAAGTTCAATGTGAAAATATCGTTTCTTTTTTAAATCGTAAGGTAAATCTAATAATCGAATCGATTAATAAATAAAGAATGACAACAAAGAGCTTTTGTTACAGACGAAGGTTTGAAAATTGTCGGTACCCTAATTCCAAAGTCCTGTATGGAGATACTGCGGCAAGAACTTTCATCCGATTCGGAGAACACCGAAGACCTCTCATTTTGAACATTTCGTTCCTTCGCTTTACAGGTAAAAAATAAATAAAAATTAACGCGAAACATAGGATCCGATTTAAGAAGTATCATAGTCTGCCGCGAGCTTGCTTTTAAATATATTTATTAATACTCGAACAAGAACGCTATCGATGTTCATCTAATCGTTGAACGTAAGAACGGAACTTGACCTTTGTCTGTTGTCAAGAGCAGGACCAATGGAAGCGACACTACAGTGATTCGTGGACAAATCCCTCTTCCTGAGCTTTGCGACAGAATTCGACGAAGAAGGGGGTGCACCTGCAAATATATGCCGAAGACACGGATACGTGCGTGTTATAACTGCCAGGAGGTATAAAGGTTGATTCCGAAGTGAATCTGAATCGCCTGCGTTGTTCGACTGTATTCGAATGACGAGTGAGATGGAAACGCGCGGCACAAACAATTCCAATTTTGCGATCCTAAGAACACATTGAAATATCCGAGCTTGTCTCTTCGTTAGACTCTCGCGTTGTTATTTTATAAGTTTTAACAAAGCCTATTGCTCACCTATTGCATCTCGATACACGAACGTCATTACGTAGAACCTTCTTTCTCCATTTCTTTTTGTTTTTAATTCGTGAACTACGCCCGTGTTACGTCGGGAATGTAACACGCGCGTTCTCTAACCCCCCCCCCCCCCCCATTTCATTTTTTACACACACCAAAACAGAGAATATATCGGAATCTATTATATATTTTTGTTCCGTCTTGTAAAGTTTACGATTGTAAATGAAATTCGTCGACATTTACAAAAAAAAAAAAAAAATGCATGACTCTGCGAAACGTATTTGCTGCGTATAGAAAGAGGTGAGGTTAGGTTCCTCTCGAATAGCTTTATTTTGCGCGTCGGCCAATTACAAAGTGATCACGAGGAAAGAAAAGCGAGATTCTTATTGGGAAGTGTGAAGATAAAATTCAATTAGCGATCGTGCTAACCACATCCTGGAAGCGTGACATCCAGTGAGAATCGATTGTAGAAAAAAAAAAAGATATCTTAACTATAGGGGTGGGACTCGCTTATTCGTGTATTGTGATTGATTTAGCGAAGAAAAGTAAGGGTAACCCGGATAAAAATGGAATACGTAGTATTAGCACTGTACGAAAGCAGTGAAGGAAGAGACGATCAATTCTCGCTGGAAAGTACAGAATGTATACGCAAAACTGTTCAACTTTTGTTTGATCGTTGAATTGATCGGATAGTTAATTACGATCGTCGCTACTGCTACCATTAATATTATTACACTACTGCTACTACTATTAGTACTAGTGCTCCCACTGCAAAACTACTATTACTATTATGACCGGGGTGGGGAGACGAGGTAATAAACGATCCTTTTGTTACACATCGAACCTTGCATTGAAACCAAACGTTTGTTTACAAATCAAGTGCCAATGTAGACGTAACATACTTTCCAAATATCGTTGATCGAAGATTAAAGTTCGATGAAATTTTCTTTCGTCCTTTCGTTGGAGACCACGATATAATTTGAAATATTTGTTGCATGTTAATCTCTACCGATAAACTCAAAGAGAAGAAAAATTGGTCGCGACCTTGTCTCCCAATATTCTCCATTTATAAGTAGTCAGCATTAAAGGAAAAAGTTAGATTCGAACGGTACGTACGGCAGTATATTTATATTCAGAATCATAAACTAGTTATGCGGTTCGCATGTATATTGAGTAGATGTCTGTTGTTTGTTTGTACGCCTGGGCGAGTTTCGATAGAGTGCTAAGTGGGATGGATCTCGCAGTCTTATTATCAATGACAGAAAACAATAATGAAAGAGGAGAATTGAAATTAGAGAGTAGAGTAATCCTGGAGGAATCGATAGAATCAGTTTCCAAGTAGAATTCTCCATCGTAACGAGAGACACGCGGACGAAAATGCTCCCGTGTTTCGAGAATGTCGCGGAAATGGAATCGTGATTGTGAATATTTTTCAGTCTTCGCAAACTGTTCTCACTACAAAGAATCGTTTTGATGTAGCACACAGAAAAACCACTGCGTTTCTACGGATACACTACATATTGCATTTATAAACAAAAAGAGAAAAAGAAACAAAGCGAAAGAAAAACAGATTAAAACGGTGTAGCATACAATATTTACGTAGCGTAAATAAGAATATGTATTTGTATCGTATCGTATGTCTTTATATTTGTTTGTGATATTGGATACAACACAGAGCAACCGACAAATTATTTATTATTAATGTTAATTACAGAGAGATCATACGTTGTTTTATTTTTCATCATTTTAACAGAATCGATTATCGAGAACGAAATTCGTCAAACGAATTTGCACAGCTGTTCACTCTCGTCGCGAATGTGGCGATTCTTGAGGGGGGGAAAAAAAAGAAAAATAATACAGTTAACGAAATTAAATATAGAAACGGATTTGTGATTAGAATGGAAGGTTTCAAACTGTAAATATTATATATTGAAAAATATAAAGCAGTTATAGGTCACACGTGTACCTTGCATTCGATATTTTTACAACTTCTTTGTTTTCTTTGTTTTGAGTTCCTATTACAGACAAGAGGTAATTTATAAATGTGGTATCTAGTATACGTGGAAACAGGGCACTGCACTTACTGGAACGACTTCTTTCGTAACGTGCTGTGTTTTGTGAACTCGAATGAGAGACTCTGAAGATATATGCATATATGTATATGTACGTGCGCGTGTATATATACATGTATAAATGTCTCTGTGTATGTAAAATCAATACTTCGTAGTAAAAATGAAAAATAATGTTAAAAAAAAAAATATCAATCTTTTGATATGAAGTTCGATTCAATTATTACAATGTTCCTTCGTTATTGTGTCATATTTCTCCAATGTCGTGCGTTCACTACTATTTTCTTTTCTTTTCTTCTTCTTCTTCTTCTTCTTCTTCTTCTTCTTCTTCTTCTTCTCTCTCTCTCTCTCTCTCTCTCTCTCTCTCTCTCTCTCTCTCTTACTCTTATTGCTTTTAACACTTGTTACGCTACAGAGCATTACGAGAAACATTGATTCATATGCGTATAAAATACATTGGCTTTCAATAAAAAGAAATATAGAAATTGTTTTTCTTTCGTAAGTGCTGAATTCGCACTGTGCAAAATTATACGAACAGCAAATAAAAAACCTTATATAAATATCAGTCTATTGTACTGTGACAAATAGCAACGATTTCATTATCATTTTTACGAGACATAGATTTTATTTAATATTGCGACGCATTTTTCACAGACCTGTTTTTACGTATGGTATATGTTTATAGTCGTGTATATAGGAAATTGAAAGATAAAAGTACAAATATAATTTTATAAATGCGTAAAATTTTTTTCACCGTTGATTTTAACGTTTATTAAATTAACATGTCGATCGTGGATTAAAATTCTATACATAGTTTGATCCACGACTTACGTTAGGTATAAAAAAAACTGTACAGTTCAACATTATTTTTCTTCTTCTTTTTTCAAATTTTCTTAACTCGCTAGAACGAGAACATTCATTCGACCATTCAGAGTTCACTCACGCATAATTACGCACAGCCACGCTCTTTTTAATTTCACCGTGTTTCCTATTTGCGTGTATGTCGCAAATGCATCATCAAATACCTCTTACTTCTACGTATATGCATTCCCATTTGACGAATCACTAACCCATAAGGGTGGAAGTACTTTGGTATCGAACGTTATTTAATGAAAAGCATACAAGAGCATAAGGAACGTGCAAAATCCAACGATAAGACCAAGAATTAGAGAGTCTCGTCTTTTACGCAGATTTATCCTTTGTACTAGACTAGTTACCGCTGGAAATCTATTCGAAATATCGTTTAATCTGGTTTGTATACGTTTAAATGTATGTCTCTGAGTCATCAAATGTTCTCGCGTCTCCATCGCTATAGTTATCTGATCATTGATCAAACGATCCGAGCTAGAAGAAAAAAAGAATCTCCATAAATTTTGTACCCCGATATATGTAATAAACGAAACAGCTTTTGGTATACAGTGACTCCTCAAGTTACATGATTGTGCCTCTACTTATGTCCTTGCATATATTTTCTATGCGTGTATCTATTCACATACGAAATAAAGCTTGCTTTTTCAATATTCAAATCATTTAAGTTGAGAACTTACTGTATATGAACGATATACATTACAATAAAATGAATTGTATAGCAAACTTTACTTACTTGTGAATATGTTGGCTTTCTTTTAAATACATCTCCCGGCGATTCAATCCGCCTACACTTTTGTAGTTACTGCACCATGGAAAATTTATAAACATTCAACAATATATTTAAGAAACAATGCTATCGATATCTCTTAACCACAGGATGATAATTGTACGTACTCGATTTCTTTACGAACACTTCCCAGTAGATCTTCTCGATCTCTTCTGGCCTCAAAATTATTTCTGATCTTACTGAATTCTAGTTTATAATCTTTCAATATATCTTTATGGCGTTGCATGGTATGAAGCATCGCTGCACCATTTGGTTGTAACTCGCTCATTCTCTCATTTATGGAGAATAACTATCGAATACGTATATTTTAGACTAGCGAAACATAGCGATACTTTAAACCTACCTTAGTTAGTAACGCTTCTATCTCAGAGGCCATATTTTCGAAGACATGTTCCTCATCCAAAAGTGGCACCTCATCGGAATTAACAAGCTTGGATCCAGCATTGATGCCAAGCTTGCTAAAAGCCACAAGTTTTGCGTCGATTTCATTCTCTAGATGTCTTGCTTGCCTTCGCAGATCTAAAATGAAAATGCATGATAACAGCAATAGTTTAAACGAAACAAGCTTCGAAGACTATGGTTTCGTAGTTGAAATAACCTGTTACTAGTACTAGAAGGACGAATATTGTAAAAATCGTAAACTGTAACGGATATTTAGAGACGAATAATAACGGAAAATAAATTATGCGAATTTTGTGTTACATATTTTTGAGAGAATGATTTTCATCGTTAGGGTTAGGAAATGTAAGATTTATTTTTCGTGATAACTGGTGCGAAACAGTTCATTTTTAGGAAATTTTATACCTACAAAATTGTTGGAACGAATCGAAATTTTTAATTAATTATTTAAATTATTAAATAACACGATTATAATAATCGTGTTTTCTGTGATCCAAAAGGGTTTCGATTTAGCGAAAGTAACGAATCTTATTCGATAGTAAAAATAACTCGGAATTAAATTTTAATAAGGGATGAGTTGACATTGTTTTCTTTGAAAATACAACTGAAAAAAACAGTTTTAATATCGGAATGACATATGTCAAAACAAAGTGGATGCGATATTACTTGTCGGAGTAACTTTCATTTCTCGATAATCGATGGCAGGAACGATAAGGAATGTAACGTTCGCGTTAAAAAAAAAAGTCTACCTTCCCAATCGACAGCATCTAATGCGTTAGCCATTTGTCGTTGCTCGAATCAGGATATTTCCTTTTCTATTATATGTAGATAGATATTACATACGACATAACACACAGTTCCACGAACAGATGATGGCAGCAGATGATACCTATATAACATAAGTGCGAGACTAAACTAATCTGATGCATAAACACGGTCACCGATTGGAGAGGAAAAATGGCGGAAAAACTCGAAGAAGGATCGTCCCTACGAAACGATAATGGACACTTTGTTTATCTAATCTTTATTTGAACAGCAAAGCAATACTAGGGAACAGTGGTATCGAAGGTCTTTTTAGGTCTGAGAAAATGTTAATATGCTTCTAAGAGGATTTTAAAAACAGATTTGTCTATGGTTCTTGAGAATTTTGTTACATCGATTCAAAAAGAATAGAAGAACTTTTTATTAGGTAAACTGGAAAGTAATGTCGTTTCTTTTACATTAAATTCAAACAAATTTTTTATAAATTTCTATTCTTAATTATTAATTGTATAATCGCTCCCAGTTATCAATAGCCTTTTGCTATCTAGTGTGCAAATTGCCAATGTCAGATCGATAAAAATCAATGAGCTGATGAACGATAAACAAGTATTTAAAATTGAAAGAACGACATTATTTTCCGGTTCACCTAATATTTACAGAATGAAAAATAGTAGAAGGTAGATTTTGGTCATCTCTGTATAGGCTAGTATTGCATCGACGCATTCCGTATGATGACAGTAGAAACTCGTGGTGGTGAGTAAACCGGTTTTATGTGGGATCCCGACGCTAGTTACGATGCTACTACCTGTGACATGCTATCCTGGTATTATTGCCTAGGAGAAGGAGCTAGGAGTAAGATAACAGGAATAACAAATGTAAATTAAAACGCAATTCTCCAAGTCATTATTAATTTAATAACACGTACATAGAATATATTATTTATTATACATATTTTTATAAAATTATTAAAATATATTAGAAGAAAATAACGATACAAAAATGACTTTCTTAGGTAGCTTTCTCCTATCGACTAATGAGAACGAACGGGAACGAATTACAGTATAAAGAAGAACAGGATTTATATCCACTTACGTGGCGTCGGAGGAAATCTGCCTTACCGTCATCGCGGGATAAGTAGGTCAGTTTTAATTCTCGCCATTTGCCGTTCGGTGGTATTTCCGTCTCGAAGGTACAATTTTAACTCCTCTATAAAAGCCAACGCAGCGAGAATCCGTTCATCGTCGTCGTGAACGATCATGTCAGGGAACTGGTCTCTTAGAAGTCGCGATATTATATTCATTTGAGTAGTAGATCTGAAAAAGTAAATAATCGTTTCTTATTAAGTATTAGGAATAATACTTGAAAATAATAAATTATAAATAATAAGTAATAGATAAAGTCACTTATCTATAACTTATATAATAATAAATAATAAATTTAATAACGATTAAAAATATTAAAGGGACCAGAAAGTAATGTCGTTTCTGCGAATGCAAATACTTGTTTATTATTTACCAGCTCACCGTGTACCAATCAATTTTTATCGATCAGGTATTGAAAATGTGCACACTAGATGGCAGAAGGTTATTGATAATGACAATTACATAATTGATTAAAAATAAAAACATACTATAAATTTATCTGTTTGAATTTAATGCAAAAGA